GAGGTCCCCCCCCCCCCCCCCCCTTTTTTAGTTCATCTTGTCATTCTTTCTGGAAGAACCCATCAATTTTTAAATTTTTTTTGGTATATGTATGTAATTGGATTTGTGTGTTATGGTTGTGTTCATCCGTGGAAGTTTGGATTTTTAGATTGTGGCATTGTTGCTGGAGAATGGAGCTGACGTGAATTCAAGAAATTATTGTGGGCAGGTACTAAATTTTTACTGTTTTGCCTCTGCCTTCTTATATCTGGATTAAATTTATCGTGTGATATAAACTGGGATTTCACTTATGTTTAGATGGTGAAAATGGATATACAGATAGTTCTTGTAATTTTAAAGGGAGAAAAGAGGGGGGGGGGGGGGGGGGGGGGGGGGGGGGGGTCAATTATTGATATAATATTTATATGAGATAGTATAGGTGGGATTTTTCTTGAAATAATAGATCAATTGTTGGATCTCTGTAAATCTGAGTTTTGAGATGTTTTTGAAATGGTTTCTGCAGACAGCATTGATGCAAGCGTGTCGATATGGCCACTGGGAAGTTGTTCAAACTCTTCTTCTCTTCAGATGCAATGTAAACCTTCCATTAAATAGATCTTTTCTTTTACATTTGCTTTACCTCCCTTTTTATACCATTTTTTGTTCAAGAATGGAATCTTATTGGATTTTCCACAAAGTGGTGACGAAACGTATAACTTGTACAATAAAATTTCCATTTATCCGTGATCTAGGCATAGGTAGCAATCGATTCTATAATTCTTCTCATTACCTAGGGTGTCCTAACCATCCAACCGCTATTCCATCTCCGTTATCCATTGATTCCACTGGCATTCCGACCTTTACCACAATGATGCTGTCCATAAATCAAATTATTTCGTGGATTGGATTTCACTGGACTAAAGCCATATTCTCCTACCTTTGATTTTAATATTTTTTATCGTTTTGGTTATGAGAAAAATATGGCGGAAATTTGTGTATTTATATCTGATTTCCAATTTGAGAAGCCTGTTACGATTACGTGAATATCATGCACTGGCTGCCTTTCAGGTAACAAGAGCAGATTATATTAGCGGCAGGACTGCTCTACATTTTGCTGCAGTGAATGGACACGTGAGATGTTTGCGACTAGTGGTTGCTGATTTTGTTCCCAGCGCTCCATTCGAACCTGTAAATGGCCAATCAAATGGTGGTAGGGGGGATAGTTTGAATCCTAAAAGCAATCCCGAACTGAGGTTTGTGGTTTATGTGTGTTTGTATGTTCTGCTTTTATCCGACTCCACATGGTTCACTATCTTCATCTGATCTTTTATCACGTTAAAGCTCAGGCCAGCTCCTATGGTATTATTATATACTTCTTATAATTAGCAGACAGAATTCTATTGGTCTAATTCCAGACCTAATGATTGATTCTGGAGGAAGAAAAAGAGTAAAAAATCTTCAACTAATACAGAAAAAAGTAATCAGAAAAATTTGCTTTGCACAAGCTTTCCTGGAATTTCTAAAAATCTTTTGAAATATAAGTACATATAGGAGTTCTTTGGATTCAACCATGATCCATACTTTTGAAATAAATAATAATATATAGCGAGTAAATGACACGGATATTTAGTGATTGGTCCTCAATGGATTCACTAAATGGTGAAGCCAAAATTCAAGTTTTTCCTCAAGCCTTTCTTGCACACTAAAGGGTCCCTTAATAAACCCTTTATATAGTAGGAATATTATCTAGATCCATACTTGATGAGAAAGTGTACTCTATGATTGGACTCCCAAAGTCCAATAGAACGAGTGACAAGATGAGTTGTTTGCCCAGTTCTACTATTTTCACTCGTTTTTTCACTGTGGGCAAGATGTATGACTTGAGCAGTTCAGTGATATTTGGAAAATAATAACACACATGCAAGGTTCTGGTGATATACAGGTTTTGGTGTGTTTGAGAGTTGTGGTTCCAGCTGAGACAGAAAAAAATGAACTGATGAGATTAAAAAAAGAATATAGTCCTAATACGATTGCAATTTGGAAGTCTCAGATATTTCTATTCGGCTGTGATTTCTTTTAGTTGTATGAGGAGCATTTCATTCATCATCATTATAATAAAATTTATTGAATTAGAATATCAATAAAATACAATCCCATTTTGCTTCATGATTAAGCTCTTCAAACTTTGAGGACTAAATTAGCTAAAAATTCTGCTCGATCAATTTCTTAAAGAGGGACATTAGCTGAGTTGCTCCATCACACTATTGTTGAGATGATAACAAGCTATTTTATTGAAATTGATTAAATGCTTCAACCTTTGACCTTTTTAAAATGTATCTTTCATATTCCATAACAGCGCTCTCTCCAAGTTTGTAAATAAGGCTGCTGACTGTGGTATTACTGCTCTTCACATGGCTGCGTTGAATGGATATTTCGACTGTGTACAGCTTCTACTTGACCTTCATGCCAGTGTGTCAGCTGTGACATTCCATTATGGAACATCTGTGGATATGATTGGTATGTTATTTTGTTAAAGAATAATAAGATGCTTTTGGAAACCACTTCATGCATGTTTCTTTCACAATAGTGGACAGTACTACACAATACAATTTTTAAGATTTTATCTTGTTTTACTTTCTTAATAGGCCATATTGTCCAATCCACTTTACCAAACATGTATCACGTGCTTTAACTTGATGTAATATTCTTAGGACCTGGAAGCACTCCTTTGCATTATGCTGCTTGTGGGGGAAATTTAAAATGCTGCCAGGTGGCGATTTGTTCTTTCTTGTTGATATTTACACTTTATGGTGAAAGGAAACAAATGAAATTCCTCGTCTATTATTTCTTGACATTTGCAATCGACGTATAGTCAGAAATTATGAACATTTTGATTTATGCAGATCCTTCTTGCAAGAGGTGCCAGTCGTTTGGCATTGAACTGCAATGAGTAAGCCAACTGAATATTTCATCTTCTAGACTTTGTTCATTGTATGTACCTTTAGTACATGATACTTAACAGACCTATTCTCGATTTCAGATGGCTTCCTATTGATGTTGCAAGGATGTGGGAGCGTCATTGGCTTGAGCCACTGCTGGCGCCTAATTCTGACTTGATCCTCCCAGTGTTTCCGTCTTCTAACTATTTATCATTGCCGCTCATGAGTGTGCTCAACATAGCAAGGTGAATTTCGAGATGTCAAGAAAATTTACATATACCCAAATAACTAATCATGCTTATTCTTTACGTAAAACTGTAATTTAATGTTTAATGGAAATACCATTTATTCATGGTAATTATGTTCATGATTGATTTCTGCAGAGATTATGGGTTGCAGTCGTCAGTAGTTTCTGATGACACTGAGATTTGTGCAGTTTGCTTGGAGAGAGCGTGTACAGTAGCTGCCGAAGGTCAGTTGTTTCACTTTCTATTAATATAATTTTCTTTCCGAAATTAAAATATGCCCATTGACCTCTTCCTACTATTTTATGGGTATTTCAGTTGTCTGTTCTTCTACCTTATTCATGCGTGTTAGCAATCAACTTGCGTTCAGAAATTATAAATATCTGATGACCAACTGTTTTTATATTCTATGGGATTAAAAAATCAAGGACATGAATAACTTTATGAATTGCCATGTCATTTTAGAATAGATCTTGCAATGTTATTTTTTCTGGTTTCTTTTGTTGCTTTCCTATTTTCTGGCCATTATTTGCTCTCGTCTTAAGCTCATAATTTAGTTGTGCCAGTTACATATATAAAATCATGCCACATATTTTAGAAAATGCTTCTTTTCTTGCCCAATCTATCAATCCGTCTTAAAGGTAATCTTGGGTTTATAGTAGCTATTCCAGGATATCTTAAATATCCCATTTACTGGTGAAATAAAAGAAAACAGACCACGAATGTTGGCTAAAAGAAAAGAGAGGGAAGATCCGACATGTCTATCTGGGTCAATGTCAATATCATAAAAACCTACATTCCCACGTCCAGTACTAGCAAATAACTTGATTTCATGCAGATCACTAAAAATGGTAAAATGTGAGCTCTCACTACTTTTATAGTCATTCAATTTATTTCCTTAGAGTATAAATTATCATTAAAATCTTTAAAACCTAAAATGTATGTAAATAATAATATTAAGGCCAAAAATTTCAAGGACTCAATTGTTTAGCAATTTTACTGGTTTACATAACTATTTTTTTCAAGGTCAAGATTTGTTTCCCAATAGTAGGACAATAGGACTCTGAGAACTGGTTATAGTCTATTTGTATACTAGTACTGATTCATTGAGAAATTGAAGTGAATAAAGACGATGTTTAAAATTGTAGCAGTTACAAAGTTATTGAGCTTGGTAGTTATAGTATGTAATGTTGGACACAAATGTCTCAGAGCAACCACAGAGGATAATTTTGCCATAAAATATTATAGTTTTAGTTACTTAAGTTCAATGCAAGCGATTAAGATGAGTTGAATGAAATCAGTTCTACGCAATGGAAAGATACTGTTATAAAGCTAGTCAACAAAATATTTGTATTAGACATGCTATGGTTTATACTACCGAGTGATTAGGCTGTTGAAAGATTAAAAGTCTATAAGATGAATTTGGTGAAAAATGATGATGTGAAGATGGATTTGTAGCCATGTTAGAATGGATAATATATATAAAAATAAGAGTATGCACCCTTGTGTATGAGAGGAAGATAGAAGAATAACAATGAAAGGACAAAAAATAAATAAAAATAAAGTATTGATGAAACCTGGTAATGTCTACAGTAATTATGACTCTTCATTTTACACTAAATAAGGCCTCGAGTTTATATTATGGAGATGTTCTGCTCTCAGAAAAAATGTTAAGAATTGCATATCTGGAATTTGGCCAACCTCTACTTATCAGCTTCAGTCTGCTCTAAACTTTGTAATTATATTTCTCTGACTCTCATCATTGCATCAGACATTACGTAATATTTTACAGAAACCTTTTTGCATTGTGATATGGTAGTTTGCCATTTTTGATTTGTTTTTCGAACTAGTCCACCTTTATGCAAACACCAATGTTGGAACCTTCATGAAAATTGAGATGTTGAAGTGCTGATGGAAGTTGTACACTTTCTTAACACACAACAGATAAACACAACATGAATGTGCGCCCAAAGATTGAACATATGCATATTGATGTGATGAAGAGAGAATATTTTACTTCCACTTTTATCTGAAACCTTGGAAGACTTTCAAAATCTTTGATTTTTACATTTATTTACGATAATTTTATGCCGTGAACTTTCAGGTTGTGCACACGAACTCTGCATAAAATGTGCGTTTTACCTTTGCTCAAGCAGTAACTTCCGTTCTGAATCATTAATACCTCCTGGTTCCATTCCCTGTCCTCTTTGCCGACACGGCATTGTCTCTTTTGTTAAATTGCTTGGTTCCTCAGTAAAGGAAAATAAATTACCTCTATCACTTAGCTTATGCACTCCATGCGTCCTTCACCACAGAGAACAAGACATATTAGATGCTCCTAGCTCACCTGATACAAGTAACAAATGTGTAGCTTCTGTTTCTTCGGATATTTTCTGTCCGGTTACTTGTAGTCCATTTCCCTCTGTTGCAATCCCTCTGTGCATATGCAATGAAGGACATTGTCAGAATTTTGATTCTAGAGGAAATGAAACTCAAGAAGAACCATCTCATCATTCACAATCCACATCGATTGAACAGGAAAAGACGGAAGAAATACGACTGGAGAAAACGACCTGTTCGAGTATGTTTTGGGGTAGAAGAAGCTGCAGCAGGGAGCATCAGTGTAATGCTGAAATAAGTGCATGAACGGTTGTGTAAGATCTTATTCGTGTTTTTATAAACAGAAGATTATCTCAAGTATAAAATACTCGGATTCAAGTTTCTGGTGTCGAAGTCCAGAAGTTGAAGTATTCAAAATCGGCTTTTCTGCTGCTATTTGTTGTCCTCTGGTGATGATCAAGAACATCTAGTTCAGGCATGACAAGTTGACTGGTTTTGTAGGTTGCTTTAGAGATTTTAAACACGGCATGTAAAAAATCTGAATGTACATGATTGGTTATAAATGTCATGTGAGTGTTGGCATTTTTCTTGATTATCTTCAATTGTTTTCTACAAATTAATTTATGCAGAGATTTCTTTCGATTTTCCATATTCTTGTGTAGAGTGAATTTTATAAGAGCCTCCTAGGTTTGTCCAGTTTCTCAATTTCTGTGTGCCATCCTGGCAATCTTCTCTGTATAAAATTGTTAGCTTTTAAGGAAATACAAGAGTTTGGAACAGTTGTTTATGGGAATATTGTTTAATAAGCAATAAAAATGATTCAAATATAACATCAAATTCATGGAAACATGCAAAAGAGAGAGATTTTCTATTTCTTTATTTTTCTTCTTTTAATTTTTTTTAATTTTCTGACTGTTATATACTTCAAATTTTTGCTCAATTGATCATGAATCCACCATTATTAACCTACTTTAAACTTCAATTACCCATTATTGTACGGTAAAAAATTAAGTTGCAAAATTTTTTTCCATAATAATTTTTTTTTTTTCTCTTGAATGCTCATTTCATAAATATTTTGCTTTTCGCTCGAAATGGATATTTTATCCAAAATATTTTTCCATAGTGTTTCATATGAAATTTAACTAATAAATGAATACTAATTTATTAAAAATAATCATTTCAACCATAAAAACATAATCAAATGCAATTGGCAAATGACAAAGTCTGAATATTCCATAAATTACAACATAAAAAATAAATTCCAGAAAAATAAAAATCCAACAATGAATTTCAATTTTTCATAAAATCCAAATCACCAAATTAGAAAATGAAAGAAAAAAAAAACATTGCTTATATTAGAAGTGAGATAAAAGTTGAAACTTCGAAATTTATTTAAGTTCAAAATTTTTAATGAAAATTCACACATGGCATTAAAAAATCCCTCCAAAATTCCCAAAATCCAAATCTAAGTAAATCCTCTTCTTGAAGTTCATCATAAATGCTAAGAACCCTATTAATAGACACAATAAGAGGATTGGAGCCCATGAATTGAGATTGTGAGGATATTTAGGTACAGAACCTCTCTAATTAATAATTAATTACTTAGAAATTGCAATTTTTTTTTCTTTTTTGTAAAATGAATTAAATATCTCAAATCTATTATATCAGTGATTTGTTTTCATGTTGTTGGCCCAACAAACGTTGTTGAATCAATCATAGATGGACGGCCAGAATCTATTTCTTGTACATGTATTTTTAAAATTTTTCTCGATTGTTTATTTTTCAATAGTTACTTATCTATCATCAAGGTTTATGATAATTAGGGTATGTTTGATTGCAAGAATGGAATTTGGGTGGAAAGAAGACGAATTTCATGGAATTGAATTGTCTAGAACTTATTTTACTGAGAATTGTCAATTAAATGTATTTGATTAGTACAAATTTCTACTTGAAAAATGTTAAAATTTTGGATCTTTTGATATTCGTCTGGCTTTGTTTTCCATGAAAATTGTCAATTAAAGAGATAAAATTTGTTATAATTATGGATAGAATTTGTTTCCATTGCCAAAAATAAAAAAAAGCTGGAAAACTCAATTCCCACCAAAACTAAAGGAAAATCAATTCCTTAAAAACTTGGATAATGTGCTCACGTGAGGGTTGGGAGGAAAATTAATTATATGGAAAATTTTAGGTGTCAAATATACCATTTGGGTGTAAAAAATTTTCATTTTTCAACCTATCAAACAGGCCCTTAGTCTAATGATAAGAAAGTGTAGAATGACATTTATGGATTAAACATCGATTTGTTCTAACATTTTTTTAACAATATAATTAGGGAAGCTTCAATGATAATTAACACGAGTCTCTTTCACGCTAGCCGTTGGAGCCAGCCATCTTAATTATATCAAATTTAATTAAGATAATGGTGAAATGGCGATATAAATGGATTATGATCACAAACGAACAGCTGGATTGGATTATGCCATGAGGCAATCTCATATAGTTTCATATATTGCAGCACAATAATTTCATTTTTACTTTATTCAGAAAGAAAGTAAATTTGTGTCACGCTAGATCAGACAAAGTTGAATAGGACTTAAAAAGAAAAAGCCAAACCTGCTCGTTAGTCCTGTCTCATGTATTGGTGATCAGCTAAAGAGATTTTGAAAGCCAAAAAATAAACAATTAATTAATTTGTAATATGATTTTTTTATAACATCGTTGACAATGATGTGTGTGACAAAAAAGTATTGATTGAAAAGATAGATTGTTTTTTTAACTATCCAACGACAACATGCCACATGACATATTGTCAACAATATTGTCAAATTCATTGTACATGAAACATTGTTCAAAAATAAAACATCAAGTACATTTTGGTTTCATTGTCTCCACACTCAGAAATTGATATGAAATCTCTTGATCGAAGCATAGACATCCAACCACTTGTATAAAGGAACTTGTAATTCCCAAGTGAAGAACCTCCAGAAGCATGACTAATAACATTATACAGATGTTTCCACAATGAGCGCAGAATTTTAGACTGCTGGGAAGCGCTTTCGATCATATGCGATCACCTAACTCATCCCTCGAAGAGAAGGTCAACATGACCTACGCGAGCTTGCTTCAAAATGTGGGACCAAGGAGATCTGGATTGGCTAAAAAGAGCGTATAGTCAACCTAGATGTCAAACAAAAAAGTATTATTGATAAATAGTTTACCAATAAACGTTCTTTTTTTACTAAAGAAAAGATATATTATCCATTGTTCTCAAAATATAATTGGATCAAAAAATTTGGGAATCAAATCGAAAGTCAATCTAATCACAGTTTATAAATCAAATATATAGAGAGCTTGTGCAAAGCCTAGGAAATCGTCTTGTTCATTCGAAAATCGGTGAATCAATTATGATTTTTTGGGTTTCGCAATTAATATTTTTATTAAAAAATATTAGAGTAAATTGAAAAAGAGAATGCTTTACCTCCATTTCTCGCCGCCTAGTAGCCACTAGAGCTTGATCTCATTAGTATCTCTTTCGTGAAGCCTTTGCACAAGGTTTCAGTCAAAACATTCCAATTCAAAAACGAAAATGAATCTTAAACAAGTATAAGTATTCAAGATTGATCTCATAGGTACCGGATGTGGAACACTACAATCGGCTGTGTAGTCAGTTTTGTAACCAATCATTATCTCTCACCATCTATTGTAGTGTATTATATTATCCGAGTGCTTAACATAAGTTAAACACCGATATTTTATGTGAAGCACCGATATTTAGAAGATTAGTCATGTATAAGTATTTGTGCAGACTATATATATAAGACAAGAGACGGTCATATATCTTGGAATTCTATTTCAAAGGCAATAATTATTTTAGCAAGGATGTCTACTTTTTCTCATAGAGGAGTTGTTTGTTTCTTGAGGTTCTAAGTTGGTCAAATTTCATTTTTAACATTCATTTAATTGCACAACTTAATGTTAAATTGTTCCATATATAGTAAATGTTAAATATGGATTTCAAAACAATCATGCTACACTAACATAAAATTTGACATTTGACATAATGTCAATTAGCATCCTATCATTCAATAGTTTAAAACATGGTCAACTTTTCATCCAATCCATTGATTTTTCACATGCTATTAAATCAAGTTTTCTATTAAATTCTTCTGAAAAAATAGCTTTATCCATTTTAAAATGCTCTATAAATTAATAGAAAATTTTAATGTAGCATAAAAATCTATTTCTTTATTTATTATTTCAACTTTTTTTTGAAAATGACAAAGGGTAAATCAAACTCTTTGACCCATCTGAAGACTGCACACACGTTTGGGTCAAAATGGACCAATTTGAAACAGAAATCCCATTTCTCTGACAAGAAGATTTTTTCTTGTTTTTTCTTTTGCCTACTTGCTCCATATGACACTTGTTTAAAAAAGAAAAAAAATGTTGAACCCCAATTTTGAGAATTCTCATCGTCTCGTTTTTAAAGTTTTGTGGAAGAGGTAAATTACGGAATGTGTACTAGTAAGTCAAAGAACAAGAGTTGTCTGTATACTGCGCCTACGAAGAGTCCAATTTTATGTCTCAGGAATCGAACCCTCACACTGCAGCTGCCAGCAAGGCGTGAGTTAACCTCACTCTTATCCTTTGCACCACTTTTTTTCACATATATTATGTAGTGTTTGGCATAAATTTTGAAAGTCAATAATTATTATTAAAAATTAAGAAACTGTTTTGAATATGTTTGGAAAATATTGTAAAAATATTCTATCTTATTAAAAGGACTTTCGGATGAAATTGACATAACATAACTTTATCAAAAAAAAAAAAAAAAAAAAAAAAAAAAAAAAACTCTTT